TCTGATCAGAACTATGGCTTGCCCAAGGTCATCCAGCCAGGTGCAAGTGGAGGAGTGGGGAATGAAACCCAGTTCTCCCAGATTAGAGTCCGCGCACTTAACCGCTACACCAAACTGGCTCTGGGCATGGAACAGTGGTCACTGCGGGTGTGGAGGGGGAGGTATTTGTGAATGTCCTGCATTGTGCCGGGGGTTGGACTAGATGACCCCGGAGATCCCCTCCAACCCTACGGCTCTATGATTCCTTGGTGGCCTCCCGTCCAAGTAATAACCAGGGCTCACCATGCTTCGCTTCCGAGATCTGGTGACGTTGGGCTAGGCTGGGCCTTCCAGGTCACCGTCGAAAGCCGCCGTATTTCTCAGTTCCGTTTTCATATGCTGCCAAAAGGTCTACTGGGTTCTTAATGTGGCTTTATGGCATTGCCATTTTTTTTTTACGTAATGTGCTCCAAAGGGGTAACTGCGGGAAGGAAGCCGGACTTAAGCTTCTCTCCGCCTCCGGTCTTCCTCACAGGTCCAGGAGACGGTGCACGGCGTCACCACCGAGGAGTGTCAGACGGCCCTGCAGAACCACGGCTGGAACCTCCAAAAGGCCATCCAGTACTTGAAGGTAAAGGCGGCGGCAACAGATCCAGGATGTCTCTGCCCCCAGCCCCCAGCCCAGGGAGAAGTTGGACAGATACTTCGACAGCAGTGTTCCCTCAATCACAGTTTACACTACTGATAGTTCACTACCAGCTTGTGCTTTCCTCCCCATAGGTGGGACTCAAGAAAGGTTTAATGCATTGTTCTCACCTCCTCCTCCTCCTCCTCCTTTCTCACAACAACTGCCCGGCAAGGTAGGCCAGGCTGAGAGCTTGTGATGGGCCCAAGTTTGCCCAGTGAGCTTCCCATGGTAGAAATGGGAATTTGAACCCGGGTCGCCCAGGGAATTCGAACCCAGGTCGCTCTAACCACCACACCACACCGGCTCATAACTAACTTACATCACAGGGTTGATATGAGGATGAATGGGTGGGTGGGTGAGGGAACAGTGTTCCCTCTAAGCTGACTTAGTGTGAGCTAGCTCACGGTTTTTTAGCCTCCGGCTCACACATTTTTGTCTCCGCTCAGGAAAGATGGCTCCTGAGGAGACTACTCTATGCAGCAGCCAAATCGGCTCGCTCACAACTTTAATGGCAGTAGTAGCTCGCCAAGTAGAACTTTTGCTCACAAGACTCCACAGCTTAGAGGGAGCATTGAGACCCGTGTTCCGTCTAAGCTGAGTTAGTGTGAGCTAGCTCACAGTCTTTTAGCCTCCGGCTCACAGATCTTTGTCCCAGCTCAGGAAGGACAGCTTCAGAGCAAACCAATCTACGCAGCAGCCAAATCGTTCGCTCATAACTTTAATGCCAGTAGTAGCTCACAAAGTAGAACTTTTGCTCACAAGACGCCACAGTTTAGAGGGAGTGCTGAGACCCGTGTTCCCTCTAAGCTGAGTTAGTGTGAGATAGCTCACATTTTTTTAGCCTCTAGCTCACGCACCTTTTCGTCTTCGCTCAGGAAGGAGGGCTCCAGAACCAACTAATTTATGCAGTAGCCAAATCGCTCGCTCACTACTTTAAGGCCAGCAGTAGCTCACAAAGTAGAACTTTTGCTCGCCAGACTCCACAGCTTAGGGGGAGCATTGACGTGTTCCCTCTAAGCTGAGTTAGTGTGAGCTAGCTCACAGTTTTTTAGCCTCCAGCTCACACACCTTTTTGTCTTAGCTCAGGAAGGAGGGCTCCAGAGCCAACTAATTGACGCAGTAGCCAGATCGCTCGCTCACCACTTTAATGCCAGCAGCGCCCAAAGTAGAATTTTGGCTCACAAGTTTCCAACAGCTTAGAGGGGGCGCTGGTCAGCAGCCAGGAGGTTCTCTCAGTCTGCTGGGGCCGATCCATCTATCCAACTGTCCTTCCGTTTCATTCTGCTCTTTCTCCAAGGAGCTTACAGGGGAAAGGCTGTGTCTCAGTGGTAGAACATGTGCTTGGCCTGCAGAAGGTCCCAGATTCAGTCCCCAGCATCTCCAGGTAACAGAACCAGGCAGTAGGTAATGAGAAAGACCTCTGCCTGAGACCCAGGAGAGCTGCTGCCAGTCTGAGTAGACAGTGCCAATCTGGATGGACCAAGGGTCTGATTTATTATGGTTCCACAATGTACAAAGAGGGCAGCCAAAGTGATCAACTGGAGCACCTTTCCTGTGTGGAAGGGTTGAAGAGTCAGGGGCTTTCAGCTTTAGAGAAAAGGACATAAGAACATCAGAAGAGCCCTGCTGGATCAGACCACTGAGGGTCCCTCTAGTCCAGCATCGTGTCTCACCCAGTGGCCAACCAGTTCCCCTGGAGGGCCAACAACAGGGCAGAGAGGCCGAGGCCTTCATAAGGGCATCATAAGAGCCCTGCTGGATCAGGCCAGTCCCTCTAGTCCAGCATCCTGTCTCTCACAGGGGCCAACCGGTTCCTCTGGAGGGCCAACAACAGGGCAGAGAGGCCGAGGCCTTCATAAGAACATCAGAACAGCCCTGCTGGATCAGACCAATGAGGGTCCATCCAGTCCAGCACCCTGTCTCGCATAGCGGCCAACCAGTATCTCTGGAGGGCCAACAACAGGGCATGGAGGCCGAGGCCTTCATAATATCCAGTCCAACCTCCTGTCTCACGCAGAGGCCAATCAGTTCCTCTGGAGGGCCAACAGGCAAGCTGTAGGGAGCCTGACAGAGGCTGAAGTTCAGATCCCCGCTCTGCCATGGAAGCTTGCTGGGTGACCTTGGGCCAGTCACTCTCTCTCAGTGTAACCTACCTCACAGGGTTGTTGTGGGGATAAAACAGAGGCGAGAAGTATACAAGCCACTTGGGGTCTCCATCGGGAAGAAAGGCGGGGTATAAATGAGGTGAATAGATACAGAGACCAGATGGAACACTGGTCTGATCCAGCAGGGCTACACTTAATTCCCTTCCAATGTTCCCTCTGTGTGTGGAGTCTGGTGAGCAAAAATTCTACTTTGTGAGCTACTGGCATTAAAGTTGTGAGCGAGCAATTTGGCTGCTGCATAAATTAGTTTCCTATGGAGCCCTCCTTCCTGAGCTAAGACAAAAATGTGTGAGCTGGAGGCTAAAAAAAGTGAGCTAGCTCACACTAAGTCAGCTTAGAGGGAACACTGTTCCCTCACCCACCCACCAATCAACCCTGTGTTGTAAGTTAGTTATGTTCCCTTCCCTCACCCACCAATTCATCCTTATATCAACCCTGTGATGTAAGTTAGTTATGAGCCGGTGTGGTGTGGTGGTTAGAGCGACCTGGGTTCGAATTCCCTGGGCGACCCGGGTTCAAATTCCCATTTCTACCATGGGAAGCTCACTGGGCAACCTTGGGCCCATCACCAGCTCTCAGCCTGGCCTACCTTGCCAGGCAGTTGTTGTGAGAAAGGAGGAGGAGGTGAGAACAATGCATTAAACCTTTCTTGAGTCCCACCTATGGGGAGGAAAGCACAAGCTGGTAGTGAACTATCAGTAGTGTAAACTGTGATTGATTTTTAATCGTTCGTTATGCTTTAATTTGGTATTATCTTGAGTTCATCTTGGGTTTATGCTGTTGCGACCCACCCTGAGCCTGCTTGAAATAAATAAAGACGTGCTTTAGTGGGAGGGTCGCTGTCTGGCCCCAAGTCGCCCAGCAAGCTTCCTAGCAGAGTGGGAACGTGGATGTGGGTGAACTACATCCTAGGCGGTGGTCACCCGGTCATTTTGATCAGGTTCCACTGCTGTTCCCTCTCGCATTTAAGACTGCTGATCAGACGCCCACATCCATCTCCCGCACCGAAGTGGGCTCACTTGCACGATCCTCTAGATTCCCTAGCGAGTTTTCCTACACCGGGAAAATCAACTACTTTACAGGTATTTGTGCTTTGAATCCGCGATTTCGGCCATCTGGGCAGCCATCTCTCGCAATGATCGCGATTAGGTCATCTGAACGTCCTTCTCACTTTTTTTTTTTTTTACAAGCTTCCGTCGTCGTTCGCGTGAGCAATCCGGTGCTGAATAAATACAATGTACAAACGGTCAAAGCGCACGTATAGACTCCAGCGCTCGGTTGTACGTTGCTGTTGGGGGGGGGGGACACCTGCAAGAACAAGGGAGTGCGGTGAGTCCTGGTGGGAGCGGTGATTTGGCCATGTGTATATGCACATGCGCAAAGCCATTTAAAAAAAAAAAGCTGTGCCGCCCAAGCGGCGGCGTGGCTATCTGAACGGTGCCCGGAGCCTCATTGCGTGATTAAAGCAGCTCATGTTCAGGGAGGGATGTGTGGTCAACCGAACACGGGGGGGAAATATTCCTGATCAAATCTATAGCGGGAACAAATCACGGTACGCTTAGCACACCCCTAGTCTACCGCTGGAACGACCCCACAGTGTTTCTCTTCCGCAGTAGACGGCTCTGGCTCGAAGCCTTCGTGCCCCCCCCCCACCGAGATTGACACACACACCCCGCCGTTCCCTCCCTGCAGGTCGAGCAGCTCTTCTGCCTGGGCCTGAAGACGCGGCTGGAGTGCCACAAAGTCCTGGAGATGTTCAACTGGAACTTGGAGCAGGCCAGCTCCCACCTGCTGGACCCCTACAGCGCCTTCTGATTCAAGTGAGGACCCTCCGCGACTCGGGGCTCCGTCCTTCGGTTTGGTGGCCCGGCCCCAGGTGTTGGGGGAAAGGTTGCCTTCTCTGGTTTGGGAAATTCCTGGAGGTTTTGGGGTGGAGCTTGAGGAGGGTGGGGTTTGGGGAGGGGAGGGGCCTCGAGACGAGAAGAGATTGGGTTCAGACCCCGCCTGTCACTACTTGAAGCCGTCTCAGAGTGGCTTACAATCTCATAGGATCAGAGGTCATTTCGTAGAAAAAGAGGTGCAGAGGCTCATTAGCATAACTTATTTGCATATGCCACACCCCCTGACCGGGGGGATGTCAGAAAGCAGCACCCACCGCGAGGGCCAGCTCACCCGCTAGGTGAACTAGGCATTCGCCTAGAGCGTGGGCTGACCCTTAGGGCGCAAAACTGGACCCGCCCCCCCACCAAAGCCCACCAGCCCCCGCCAAAAACCTACCGCCTCCTCCAACGCCTGCCCGGGATACCCATCCGCGCCTGGCTACCCACCTCCCTCAGCCGCGCCTCTGCGGCTCCGCTTACCTCTGGGCTCACCACCAGCCTCCCTCCTGCTGGCGTTGCTGCTTCTGCAGCGAGGGCGACAGCACCCGGCCGCCAGGTGCGCACACCCCCGGCAGCCAGCCAGCCCACGGTCTGAACAGGTGGGCCGGAGAGAGACTGCATCAGGGCGGCGGTCCCTGGGGGCGCAGGAGCCGCCTGCAACCAGGCGGCCCGGGCCGGGTGGGCAGAGGAATCTGGAGAGAGGCCTTCCCTCCTCCTCCTCCTCCCAGGAGAGTCCAGGACTTAAATTATGTCCGCAGGCCGCCAGTCTTCCGCTCCTGTGGAACTCCATGGGGCCCCATCACAAGCCAACCGCCCTTGACTCGCAGCCCCACCCGCGATGCCTCCAAGGGAAGCGGGACTGCTCCCCGGCCCCCCCGCACACTAAATCCTCCCCCCAAAACCTAATACTTGCATTACTTGAAATAAAGATGTACACATCCTTCCCCCTCCCCCCCGAGCCATGTTGCAAATTCGTCTTAATTGTTTCGGGGCTGCGGGGATCTGCGGGGAGAACATGTTGGGCCCGATCCGGGCCGTGGGAGACCCTGGGTTCCTGGGGGGGAGGGCGTGGAGCACGTGCTTGACTCCCCCCCACCCCGATCGAATCCAACAGGTGAGCGCTTCGCTGGGGCCGGCGGCTCCTCCGGCAGGGCAGGTGGGCGGCCTTGTCCGTGGCATGGCTCTCCGGAGTTCTCCCTTCAGCTGCACGGCTTTTTCTCAGCCCCAGCATGACGGGGGTGGTGCAGAGGGGACGGCTCCAATCCCTGCTGCAAGACCCGGTTTGCAGGCCAACGAGACCAACGGCCACTCGCACTGCAGAGAGAAGCCACCTTCGCTTCCCTCCTTCTGCAGCAGAGTTGGAGGCCATGCTCCCCTACCCTGCCAGGCGCACGTGTAAGTTACGGGCTGAACCTCTGCCTGGCCTTCCTCTCCAAGCCCGGGAAGCAGTTCACTGGGCGAGGCAAAGACCAGCGGGACTTCCTTTCCTCCAGGCCTCGTCTGGAGGTTGGCAACCACGTGGGCATGTGCGGGGGCACCAGAAGGTAGCCCCGCCTAGGGCGCAAAAAAACCTCGGGCCGGCCCTGGGTGGAGGGGGAGAAGCCTGGTGGGTCCAGCAGTGGGGAGCCATGCAGGGCTTGCCGCCATTGCTGCTTGGGGGGGGGGGAAGAACACTACATGCTCCCCCACCCCGCCAGGCGCACGCGTAAGTTACGGGCTGAACCTCTTCCTGGCTTTCCTCTCCAAGCCCGGGAAGAAGCCCACTGGGCGAGGCAAAGACCAGCAGGACTTCCTTCTCTCCGGGCCCTGCCTGGAGGCTGGCAACCACTTGGGCGTGCGCTGGGGCGGGCCAGAAGTTAGCCCCACCTAGGGCGCAAAAAAAACCTTGGGCTGGCCCTGCCCACCGCTCAGGCTCCACTGGACTGTTTTGGACTGCTAGCTATTGGGGGGGGGGCCTGCAGATCTGTCCTCGCAGAGGAGGGAGAGCTTGTACCTGAATAAAACTTGGTCTTCAGGGTGCCACTGGACTGTCTTGGACTGTTTTGGCTCTGCAACTTACCTGGCTGCTTCTTGCTCTGACTGAGGGCTGCTGGGAGCAGGGGGTGGGGCTTGTTGCATGTGCCCGCCCCCTGGGCTCTTTACTGCCGGAGCTCCGCTCCTGTGCGCTCCTGCAGGAAATGACCCCTGCATAGAATCATAGAGTTGGAAGAGGGCCATACGGACCATTTAGTCCAACCCCCTGCCCAAGGCAGGACCAGCCTAAAGCATCTCTTACAAATATCCGTCCAGCCTCTTCTTGAAAGCTGCCAGTGAAGGGGAGCTCACCACCTCCCTAGGCAGCTGATTCCACCTCTGAGCCACTCTGATGGTGAAAAAATGGAAACGGCCTAAAATCCCTACACTATCACAGTGGAAAACAAAATTGTGGGATATAGCCGTATATGATAAAATAGCAACACAACTAATGATATCAGACAATCCCAAACTTATTAATAATTTCTTGGAGAAATGGTATGTCTTTTTTGAGTACGTTACGACACATCACCCAAGTCTATATAATGTGCCTCTGAAATATAAAACGTTTGTGTTTTATTGATATTCAAAATGTATTTGTAGAATATCTTTTGCTCTCAAGTTAAGAGGATGTATATGTTTCTTTATCTATTGTTAGAGCTGTTGTATGTTTCGTGTTAGTTACAAATGTTATATCTTCATTTAACAAATGTAATAACTACGGTGATATCGAGTACAATGTCACTTTGTTCTGAGTTCTTTATAAAATTTCAATAAAAATGTAATTTACAAAAAAAATAAGAGAGAAAGAGAGAGAGGTGGAAAGAAAGAATGAAAGGTGGAAAGAGAGAGCGAGAGAGCGAAACAAAGAGGGAGGGAGGGAGGGAGGGAGGAAGGAAGGAAGGAAGGAAGGAAGGAAGGAAGGAAGGAAGGAAGAACATGCCTCCCCTTCACTTACCCAGCCGCCCTGCCAGGAGCCACACAATATGTGTGAAAGAACCACGTGTGGCTTCCGAGGCACAGTTTGGCCACCCCTGATCTGGAACACGTACCTCTTTGTGTCCCTTCTGGTACCTGTGGTCCTGTTTCGGGACGGAGGGGGATGCCTACATCTTTGCATAGGCGACAACCGACCACTCCCTTTGTTTCCTCACAGGCGGTGACCAACGGCCGGACCCAGAAGCAGAGACGTTTGACCCGCTGTGGGTGCCCACAGGCAGGGATCCCCCGAGGAACCACTTCCTGGCACACGGACCAAGAAGCAGCTCCGTGGCAGAGGACGACGGAGCAGAGGCGGACGAGGTCACCGCCAGGCCCGCCGGGCCCGATCCTTGTGCGCTTCCCCCCACCGAAGACTGACTGTCCACACTCCTTCCTCCTGCAGACGCGGGGGGCTCAGAGTTCGCTTGTATTTGGACCCCACCCCGCTTCCAACCGTTGTTGCTGTTGCTTGCCATCGAGTTTATTTTGTAAAGAGAAGTGTTACATTAATATATAAATATTCTATTCTATTTTGAAGAGGGTGGCGTGATTGTTGAGCGCACGTTCGGCCGGACGAATACCTGAATAGACCAGAGCTGGGTGACAGGGGGGTGTTTGAAGGGGACCCGGGTGTGAGAGACCTTCTGGAGGAAGAGAAGAGATTGGATTTCTACCCTGCGACAGGGACGCTGCTGCCATGCGAAGGGAATGTCAAGGTCCCGATTGGGCCTGCAGTGCAGCAGGCTGAGGAATCCTGTGAAATGTAAATGGAGTAAAATGGCCAGATCCAGGTTGGGAAACTGCTGGAGATTTGGGGACAGAGCCCAAGGGGGGACAGGGACCACAGTGGGGTACAAGGCCACAGAGTCCAACCTCCAAAGCAGCCGTTTCCTCCAGCGGGACTGATCCCGGGAGCCTGGAGAGGAGCTGGAATTCTGGGGGACCTCCAGGTCCCACCTGGAGGCTACAAACACAAAGGGAACACGGCAAAGCTAGACAAACGTGGAGAAACGCCACGATAGAACAGAACACACTTCTACTAATACGTACTTGAATCATCATATATTGATTTACTTACAATAAAGATTCTAGTATCTCTAGGAGATATTAGGATAGTAACAGCGTTCCGTGCGCCTTGGTGTTTAGTCATGCCGGCCACATGACCACGGAAACGTCCTCGGACAGCGCTGGCTCTTCGGCTTGGAAACGGAGATGAGCACCGCAACCCTAGAGTCGAGCTCGACTGGCTTTCGAGCAAGGGAGACCTTTACCTTTTCATCTCTAGGAGAACCAGAGAAGCCTCCTTAGAATGGTTGGCTTATGCACAGTAAAAGCGAGAGCTTTGGCTCCAGGGGAAATTACGTCTGCCTGAAGAAGAATTTGTCGAAACACCCCATTTTTGCCTAGGAGGCGTGTTGCTTGCTTTGATGCTTGCTGAAACACTTTGTGTGGGAAACAAAACTGCCTGCTGCAGTTCTCATGCCGGCTGAATTTCTCTTTGTGGAGAACACAACAGCCTGCTGCATCTCTCATCATTTATGACTGTTGCAACTTTCACCAGTCCTTCATCAGGAGGAAGATAGCCTACAGTGCTGGAAGAGGTCTGTTCTATCGCGGCGTTTCTCCACGTTTGTCTAGCTTTGCCGTGTTCCCTTTGTGTCTGTAGCCTCCCGGTGGGACCTGGAGGTCCCCCAGAATTCCAGCTCCTCTCCAGGCTCCCAGGATCAGTCCCGCTGGAGGAAACGGCTGCTTTGGCGGTTGGACTCTGTGGCCTTGTACCCCACTGAGGTCCCTGTCCCCCCTGGGCTCTGTCCCCAAATCTCCAGGAGCCAATCCCCTGCCGGTGGTCAGCGGAGAACTGGCTACCCTAAGGATTCCTCAGCCTGCTGCACTGCAGGCCCAATCGGGACCTTGAAATTCCCTTCGCAGGGCAGCAGCGTCCCTGTGGCCATGAGGATGCAGTCACGCCAAGGTTGGCCCCCGAGAGGAGTGGCGGGACCCGAGGCCCGGGGGCGAGATTCCTTCCTTACAGAAAGGATTCGTTTCGGCACAAACAGCCCTGAGCCCCTGGTTTTCTCCCATTTCCCGTGGCGTGACGGTGATGACGTGTCGCTTCCTGCCGTGTCCTCGCCACCCCGAAGGTCATCTGCTCCCACCTAGGGCTAAAGTTCGTGTCCGTGCCTGGCGAGATGGAAGAGACGCTGCCTTCGATCGTGGAGCCTCTCGCTGGAAGCGGACGGGTCTCTCTGACGAGAGGCATAGACTCAGCCGGTAAGCCCCACTGAGGCAGAGGAAAATGCTCTTTCTTGAGGTCAAGGAACAGCAAAGAACACACCACTGA